AGCCATCTCACCAGCCCCAAACCAATCTTTTCACCAATGAATGTTTATTTTTTACTAAAAGAGCATGATTTGAGGCTTGTTGTTACCAGCACAGTAACAGGTACTATTATATTTTGACCCATGGTAGGTCCAGCAACAGATATCAAAGTAAATAAAAATACCGGTCATAATTCTGTCCAACCAAAGCAGTAGATGCCCTTAACCTAAAACTTCAGCTTATAACCTCCCAATTCTGTGTGATCTTAAGTTATTTAAATTATGACTATGCTACAAACAGCTACATGCTTTGTGGCTATCATCTGATGGTCAATTATCCGTTGTTCTCTATAAGTTACTCATGCTAATTTGGGTCCTCTGAGAAACAGATGACAGGATCAAATCTGGAAGTTTCATTGGGGCAGATATCTGGTGGTGGTGGTGGTGGAGGGAAGTTGTAGGGGTCTGTGTGATCTCCACAGCAGCAGAGAAATGACTGATCCACAGGAGGGAAGACAGTTTCAGTTCATACTCAGACGCTGGTTGATTCAAACTTCCAGAGTCTGACCCCAGTGGCACAATAAAGCATACATATACACAGGGTGGTGGTGGCGCACGCCTTTAATCCCAGCACTTGAGAGACAGAGGCAGGCAAATCTCTGTGAGTTCAAGGCCAGCCTGGTCTACAGAGTGAGTGCCAGGACAGCCAGGGCTACACAGAGAAACCCTGTCTTGATAAACCAAAACACAACAAAACAAAAAAGCAAAACAACAACAAAAACATACCTTCATTGAGGAACAAAGTAAGCTCAGACGTGACTACAGTGAAACTCTTTGTAAAGTACATGTGACAGATTAAAGATGGGTTCTATAGATTGACTGGGGAAGGCTGGGGAAGGGCCTGGTGTGGTCTTTCACCACACAGCACGAAGGTCACCAGGCTGGAATGTACATTCACTCCCAGCCCTCCGGGCAGATAACAGGTATGGCATTCCTTCCCTTGAAGAAACAAGCCTGTGTACTAACAGTTCAGGTTCCCCTAGTGCAGTGATTCTCAACCTATGGGTCATGACCTCTTAGGAGTGGAACAACCCTTTCACAGGGATCACCTAACACCATCAAAAACCACAAGATATCTACACTACAACTCATAACAGTAGCAAAATTACAGTTATAAAGCAGCAATGGAACTAAGTTTATGGTGGAGGGTCACCAAAACATGAAGAACTGTATTAAAGGGTCACAGCATTAGGGAGGTTGAGGACAACTGCCCCAGTGCTTATCTGTGAGCACAAGGACGTTCATGCCTCCTACAGCAGGTACGTCCTGACACCAGTGACATGGAGGATTGGATGCAAAGGACCTCAGAGAGGATCAGTGTCGAAAAAACTGAGCAGTCAATGGGGCAGCCAGTTAGACAGCGGACTGCATTAATCACCCTGTGTATTTGTTACTTCTCTTGTTGAGGTGGTAAAATACCCTGATAAAAGCAACTTCCGGGAGAGAGGGTTTATTTAGACTGATATTCCTAGTCCATCATGGTCACATTGAAACCACAGTCAGGAGGCAGGAGAGGAGAAAGGATGAATGCCCATTCTACTAGTTAGTTTTATGTCAACTTGACACCAGCCAGAGTCATCTGAAAGGAGGGAGTCTCTATAAGAAAATGCCACCATAACGTTGGGCTGTAGGCAAGCCTGTGGAGAATCTTCTTAATTAGTGATTGATGAAGGTCGACCCAATCCATTGTGGATGGGGCCACCCGTAGGCTGGTGGTCCTGGGTTCTATAAGAAAGCAGGTTGAGGAAGCCAGGAGGAGTAAGCCACTAAGCAGCATTCCTCCATGACCTCTGCATCAGCTCCTGTCTCCAGGTCCCTGCACTGTTTGAGTTCCCGTCCTGAATTCCATTGATAAACTGTGATGTAGAGGCATAAGCTGAATAAACCATTCCCTCTCCAAGTTTCTTTGGTCATAGTGGTATTTTTTTTTTTTGAGACAGGGTTTCTCAGTGGCTTTGAAGCCTATCCTGGCAGTCGCTCTGTAGACCAGGCTGGCCTCAAACTTACAGAGATCCACCTGCCTCTGCCTCCCGAGTGCTGGGATTAAAGGCGTGCGCCACCAACAAAACTGGTCATAATGTTTTATCACAGCAAGGCACCCATGCTCAGCCAGTTTCCTTTTTAGTCCAGGTGATGGGGCTGCCCTCCTTCAAAATCTTCTACCTCAAGTGACCTCGTCTAAGTGATCCCTCACAGGTGTGCCCCAGAGCATGTTTCCTAGGTGATGAGATCCTGTCAGCTTGACCATCTACCTAACATTACCCTGCATCTCATCCACAGGATCACAATGGCAGACCCCATTCGGTGGCAGAAGGGGTCTGTGTCGACTCTGCTTCGCATTTGATATTGGGATCTGTTATTTTCATGGCTGTCATATCATTTTCAGCAAACATCAACCCGATAGTCTTTAAGTTTTCTGACTAATGATTCATGGATGTGAACGCAAGTGTTTTTACGCCATCAGTATTACCTGAGAGCGGACGTAAGTTAAGTTACTTAAAGCAAGAACTTTCATACTCATTTATTTTGTGTGTGCACATGGAGGTCAGAGGACTCCTTCACGGCTTGGTTCTTTTCTGTCACCATGTAGGTCCAGGGTATGGAAGGTCATTAGACCTGGCAAGTGCCTTTACCTGCTGAGCCATCTCTCAATCTCACTAGCCTGAAGATTGTTGTTATTATTAGCAAAGGTTTTATATCTTAAGATTTTGTTAGCCATTGTGTGTATAGATACATACATACGTGTGTGTATGTGTGTGTGTGTATGTGTGGTGTGTATTTTTTTCCCCTGAGACAGGGTCTCTCTTTCTATATATCTCTGGGTGTCCTGGAACTCATTATACAGACAAGGCCTACCTTGAACTCACAGAGACCCACCTACCTTTGCCTCCCAAATCCTGGGATAAAAGGAAGAAGTCCTACCTACTGTGTATTTTAAACTTGCTTAGAAGTCTACAAACTTTTTCTTTCTCACATATTGTGATAATTAGTATAGAGTAGCGTAATTTTGATTTCTTATCGTCTCTTACTAACAATTCAAAATAATTTAACATTTTTCAGAAGGGTAATTTAGTAAATGTTCACTAATTTAGGAGGTTGACTAAATTACGGAGTATTTTCAAAATATTTTTATTTAGAATCTTCAAGAAAAAGAACAAGTGTTGGTGGCTCACAACCATTTGTAACTCCAGTTCCTAGGGATCTGACGCCCTCTACTGGTCTCCAAGGACACTGCATGCACATGGTGCTCAGACAAGCACAGCAATGCACATAAAATAAAAAACTTTTTTTAAAAAAAAGGAACTAATGTTGACTCAAAAGCAAATCTAGTTTAATTAGCATGCAAATCAGTTTCTTGACATAGTTCAAAATGTTTATCCACTGGCTGGAGAGTTGGCTCAGCTATTAAGAGCACTTGTTGATCTTGCAGAGGACCTGGGTTCAATTCTTAGGACCCACACAGCAGCTGACAATCTATATCTCCAGTGTCAGGGAATCCAATGTTCTCTTCTGACCTCCTCAGGCACCAGGCATGCATAGGGTGAACATACATACACTCAGACAAAACACTCATACACATAAAATAAATACATCTAAAATATTAAAATCTCTGCAATGGTTCCCCTTATATTCCTATCATATTGCACTTACAATTCACATCACTCAGTGGTTGGCCCACTGCGCTCCGCTGTCTATCAGCTCTGCTAACCCTTTCTTCCCAAGCAATTTGCATAGCCAGGAGGGCTGAAGGCCCAGCCTCTGCAACAGAGGACACAACAAAAGGTGGCCCAGAGGACCTGACCCATGCGGCAGGGGTCAGGTATAGAGCTGAACTGAATAGTCTACTCCCTGCTTTTCTGCACCTCAATTTTGTCTCATTGACTAATATGCATTTCATTCCACCCACCCAAATATCGTTATTTTTAACTAATGATTCTTTAATGTATTCACATAAAAGTATTTCGATTCAAATATTTCAAATTTTGCTTTTCTTAATCATTCCCACAGGAAGCCTAGTGATTTGGAAAAGTACATTCATGGTTAAGAATAGTGAACACAATGAATGACAGGTGTTATGACGTGTGCTATGCCCTACAGAAAATGGCATACATGCTGAAACTGTCCTTGGATGTCTACGAGGTTGCTTCTGAAAGAAACTATCTCTTTTTGCTGTTTTCTCATTCAGGTTTTTGTTTTCCTTTAAGAGGGTAGGCTCTTACTATACTGCCCAGGCCGTTTTCAAACTCAGTCTTAGGGCTGGCAAGATGGCTGAGTGGCTAAAGGTACTTGCTGTCAAGCCTGGTGATCTGAATTTGATCCTAGGAATCTACATAGTGGAGAGAGGACCTATTCCTGTACTAATTCCTCATAATCTCTCTTTATGCTCTAAGACACACACACACACACACACACACACACACACACACACACACACACACACACACACACTCCTCCCCTCAGTGGTTCTGTTTCTCTCAGAAATCCTAATGCATAAATATTCATTTATTCACTCTACCCAACTGTCCTGTCAACCACTATTATTTCTAATTTACACAAAAGGCTACAGAAGTACAAGGGCATTTCATAACATGTTCAGGATCATATAGACATTAAGAAGTGGGGCTGGGACTGAGTTTAGCTCATTTGGCTCCAAATGAAATATTTTGTACCATTACTGCCACTTTATTATTATTTAACCCAGATTTTAAAAGTCACCATTGGGCCAGTGAAGTGGCTTACTGGGTCAAAGGTTTACTGTACAAGCTTGATGGCCTGAGTTCTTTATCCTGGAACCTATACTAAAGTTGTCCACACATATGCTCACATCCACTCTCCCTCTTACACACTTACACACACACACACACAAACACACCAGCCTGTCACTCCAGTTCCTTCATGGGCACCAAGTACACACACACATGCACGAAAAACACTCACACATATAAAATAATCAATCTAAAGAAAATCTTTAAAAGTCATTTATTTACATGTGCATTTAATAAGCAACTGATTAAGTCGCTAATGATCACGGCAAAGGCTTCCAGCTCTCATTACACTCTCCGTACCCCCGGAAGTCAAAGTTAACATGTGCGAATGGAGAAGTGTCTCCCCTTCCTAATTTACAGCAGCATCTGTTCTTCATGGCGATCACATGTCTTTTAAAACACGGGATGAAGCCGGGCGATGGTGGCGCACGCCTTTAATTCCAGCACTCAGGAGGCAGAGGCAGGCGGATCTCTGTGAGTTTGAGGCCAGCCTGGTCTACTAAGTGAGTTCCAGCACAGGCTCCAAAGCTACACAGAGAAACCCTGTGTCGGAAAAAAAAAAAGATGGAAATTACATGACTTAAAGGCTATAGAGAAAGAAAACAGTGTGCAGTAAGTCATTCAGAAAATGACTCTTCAGTGGAAGAATGTGCGATGTGTGACTTAAAAGTCGATACAGCGTCCTTTCCGTTCCCAGTCTCCATATCGTGTAGGCTCCGGCCCCCGGGGTCCGCCTTTTTCTTTGGTAACTGGGTTAACATCATCTGGGAACTCTAAGGAAGACAGGAGATTGAATGAGGCAGTCAGCAGGGACGGAAGGACAGGCCAGCACAAGCTGGAGGTGAGCGCTGGCTTACCACAGTCTTTAAATGAAGCGGACATGAGGTTCTCCCCCCACACCCAGAGCATGAGATACACATCTTTCCTATCCAATCGGCTTTACCACTGGCATTAATGGCTTCCAATTATTGGAGTGCTTTCAAGTCTAGAAACTACTAGAAAGTAGTTTCATGAGTGGTGCTGAACCCAACAGACCGGAAGGAGTGAGAACAGGGTGCAGCTTCACTGACCTTGGAAGGGTTAGAAACAGTTCAATGTCTCCATTTTCTTTCCAGTAAGATGAGGTCGGTGTGTGTGTGTGTGTGTGTGTGTGTGTGTGTGTGTGTGTGTAGGCAGGGTGGTGGTGGCTGTCATACTTGCCTTACAGCATTGACCTGAACAAGGTAATGTATATAAAGGGTCTAGCACAATGACAGGTATGTACAGGTGCTGACCGACTTTACTTGTGAGCACTATTGCTCCTTGACATAGGCTGTGGCTTCAGCAGGGGGGCTTACGACAATAAGTGATATCATTGGTCTTAACACTGTGTGTTCATGGGCTGCGGATACAGCTCAGTAGTAGAATGCTTGTTTAGCACGAGTGAAGTTCGGTCTCCAGTAATAAATACATGCCACACACCTGTACACATACACATGCACGCATTCTACATTTTCCTGATAGGAATCCTCACTATGAGTCAAACCAAATTGTGAGGATTTTAACTTTTAATTATCAATCAGTTTGGTTGCTTACTGTTTGATGTTGGGTGTTACCAATGTTGCCCAGGTTGGTGTTAAATGATGAGGGTTAACCAATCCCTCTGTTATAACCTGGTACTGGATTTTCAGTTCTCAGCACTGTATACACGCTCACTCACTCAGTCCACATACTAGCTCTGTAAGTCAGGAAACAATGCTGCCCCCATGTTACAGGTGCACAGAGTCGTTCAGTGTCACACAGCGAGTGAACAGTGAGACGGAGCCTGAACTGAAACCCACATGCTGCACGGCTTTGTGTACAGAGAGAGCAAGCGAGGAACCAGCTGTTAGGAAGAACCTCCGGTCTTAAATGGTGTGTTTTTGGAAAACTAGAAGATCATTGCCCCAGATTATGCAGCTCCTCTGCAGACTAACCAAAGAAGATACAGAACTTCACCTTGAAACTTCCCAAAGATTTCTTCAATCTTTATCTTTGCTGTACTGTGCCTAACTCTTGCCGTCATTCTGTTTTCTGGGGAACTTTTGAGATAGCGCCCTGAAAATCTGCAATGGAAGCTCTTCTTTGACTCCCCCACCCCCAATTCCTGGGACTCTCTGGGTGTGACAGTTACCTGGGAATGCTCAGACAACATACTTACACAGTGTGCTGTGTGGCTTCAGCAATCAAACTCTCAGTGGGGGCTGTGTTGGAGTGAGGGCCCTCTTCCTGACTATGGACCGTCCCTTCTTTCTGAATTGTTACATGGAAAACAGGGGGGCAGTGAGGTTTCCAGTGTCTCTGCCATAAGGGTACTACTCTTACCACGAAATCCTCAACCAAGTGTCCCGAACCTAATTATCTCCAAATACCCTCACATTTGGGGTCAGGGCTTTAACAGTACTGGGAAAAAAGAATATGCTGAGATGCTGAACTAGTTTTAGTGGTTTGCTTGTAGTCCCAGCTATTCAGGAAATGAAGGCGGGGAAATTTTTGAGCCCAGTAGTTCCAGGTTAGTCTAGAACACGAGACCCTTACCCCCTTCCACATGATAATCTTACTACGCACACATACACATGACTCTTACTACTACACCCATGTGAAACTCTTAATAACACACACATTGAGACCCTTAATACACATACACACACACACACATGAGACCCCTGATATACACACATCTCTCTCTCTCTCTCTCTCTCTCTCTCTCTCTCTCTCTCTCTCTCTTTCTCTCTCTCTCTCTCACACACACACACACACACACAGTGAGACCCTTAACACACATATTCATTCTCTCTCTCTCTCTCTCTCTCTCTCTCTCTCTCTCTCTCACACACACACACACACACACACACACACACACACACACGAGTGGATACACACACTGAGATGCCCCTTCTCATTGCTGACCACCAAACTTTGATAGACTTTTCTCTACTGAATCCTACACTATTCCCCTGCCCAATGCTTGCCTCTGGTTGGCAGCAACTCAGAGACTTTTGCATCTTGCTCTGTAAGATGAATACGGGATTATAATGTCATCTCTCCCTCCTCACCCTCACACGCTGAGTCTACCGAGGTCCCTAAACCTCCTTATAAGGAGGCTCATCTCACGTGGACTCCCACTGGACTTTATCCCCTGAATGTTTCTCTTCAAATCTTACTCTTGAGCTCGCTCCTCTTTGACCACACCTCCTGCCTTCCCTTCTCCCCTCTTCTCCGAGTTTGCTTACACCCAGAAGTTTCTCGACTCTTCCTCCTTCTATCACCACCGCCTTACCCTCTCAGCAGCTGACTCTTAGCACTACAGTCGTGCTCTGTGCCATCTGTGTTCTGTCTCTGACATCTCCAGCCGCATGTGCACAGAGACTACAGCATCTTTCTAAAACAGATCTCTTCCACAGCAGACTGAGTGAAGGATGCCAGCCACGTAAGACTGCATGCTCTCATTGATATAAAATCCTATGAGAAGCGAAACTACTGGGATTGAGAATGGATCAATGGCTGTGGGAAGAGGTAAGAAAAGAGCTGATTAAAAATAAGCAAAAGATAACTCTGTAGGGAATAAGAAAACTTACACTTAATGTTGCTTACATGACCACCAACATTTGTGAAAACTCACAGAACTGTATATTTAAATCACACTTTAATAGAGCTGGCTAGACCATCTCCAGCCAAATACATTTTTAAAAATTTGACCATACATGGTGGTGTACACCTTTAATTCAAACACTTGGGAGGCAGTCAGGAGGATCTCTGTGAGTTGGAGGCCAGCCTGGTCTACATAGGGAATTTCAGACCAGCGAGGGCTACATAGTGAGATCCCGTCTCAAAAACAAAACAGAACAAAAACCAAACCAAACCAAGACAAACACCTCACTGAAACAGCTTTATTGACTTCCTGAGAAGTAAACAGGACCTCATGTAGCCCATGCTGCCTTATTTCAACTTCAGACCCTCCCTTCCATCTTGTCTCACTAGAGTTGGGATTACAGGCATGTACCACCATGCCAGATTCATGGTCTTAGAATGAGGCTAGGGTTCCACACCTGTTAAGTCAGCCCTCTTCCTATGAGCTACCCAGTTCCCTCACTGACCACTCCCAGATTTAAAACTTGTTTAAGTTACATTGACTGCTTGTGTACATGTGTATATGTATGTTGTGTTTTGTGCATGTGCTACAATGTGAGTGTTGAGCTCAGAGGACAATATTTAGGAACCGGTTTTCTCCTCCTACAGTGGAGTCCTGGGACTGAACTCAAGCCGTGGGGCTCGGCATACATATCTTCATCTGCTGAGCTATCTTGCTGGCCCTTATGCTCAGGTTTGACATGAAAAAGCCTGACATTCTGTTACTCTACCATTTATACTTTATGCTGAGGTTAAAGAGGCCACTTAGCTGTGCCTGGCATGCGCCATGTTCTGTAATCCCTTCTTGTATGGCCATACCTTTCTCTCTCTTAAACATCTCCCTCACACATCTACTTGTCATGCTTCTATGTATCCTTTAAATTTCATTTGCCCTACCTTCTTCTGATCATTTTAGTCTGTCATGCTAATTTCCATCAGATGTGTATAGATAGCTATGTATCTCATCTTTCATTTACCCCGATATCTGTCTGTCAGTCTGTCAGTCTGTCTGTCTATCTATCTATCTATCTATCTATCTATCTATCTATCTATCTATCTATCTATCTATCATGAGACAGAGTCTGGTAATGTATCCTATGCTGACCTAGCAATCACAATCCTACTACAGCAGTCTCCTGGTGCTTGATTCCATGTGTATGCCTGGCCCTTTTATCATCTTATCGGTGAAAAGTATGCACTGCAACAGGATAGCCTAGAATTTTTCCTTAGAATGTAACATGGCAGGAAACCAAGACTTGAAAGAAACAAGCTAGACACAGCTTGCTGTGGGGCTTTACTGGGAGGGCATGAGGGGGTGAATTTGAGACAAGTTAAGAAGGGAGAATCAAAGGGACTTGGTTTATAATCGACTACAGGAAACAGTGAGGCCTAAGTGAAGGATTAACCTGGACGTCAGGCTCGTCTGACTTGATGGATGGAGTCTACTGGAAAGTAGAATGACAAGAAGGGTGTGGGGTCGGGCTGGCGGAGGAAGGAGTGTGAGGGGAGACCATGGGGACACAGCAAGTTTAGCGTTAGAAAGAACAATTTTAAGATGTCTGAACATGCACGGATGTTCATGAAGCAGGTAAGACAGGACAACTGAAAAGCATGCACGAGATATTTCAAGTCACCCGAGTAAACTATGAGATCCTTGGAGGCATGTAAGGGGTGTGGACAGAAGCCTAACAAAACCCATGTGTAGGTGTTGGGTCCAGACAAAGGAGTTTGAAAACCACCCGGGAAGAAATGGCAGAAGTAATGGATGAGAAGACGAAGAAAGCAGAACAGAAGCTGAGTTGGAAACTTCCAGAAGCAGTAGTTAACACTGCCTAAAGCTATTGACTGCTTAGGTAAGGTTGAAAGGTGTCTTCTGGCACCGGGTATTTGTCATTTTCTAAGGAACGGTGGCTTTAACATAACCACAAGCTGTTAAAAAATGAAGATGTGTATGTCCTGATAACACACTGTACAGGCAGTGCTATCATCTGACTTCTATCTGACTGGTGAGATTTGGAAGCCATGCTGAAGCCTGGATGCCAGCACTATGCTTTTAGCACTTCAGCCTCTAGAACTGCAAGCCAAAACGAACCTCTTTCCTGCTTCTGATGATCCCATATTCCTGTAAGTAGCCTCATGTGATAGTCAACCTCAACTGTCTGTCAACTGGACAAGATGGAAAGGAACCCAGGAGACGTCTCTGGGTGTTTCCATAAGAGAGCTTCCAGAGAGACGGAGAGATGCGCCCTGAATGTTCACCCCATCCCATGCCTGGATCCTGGAAGCCAGAAGGCAAGCTGAGCACCAGCATCTGCCTCTCTGCTTCCTGACAACAGACACAATGTGACTGTCACCTCATGCTCCTGCCACCATGCCTTCCTGTCATGATGGGCTGCACCCTCTTAAAATGTGAGCTAAAACAAACGCTTCCTTCCTTTAGCTTTTATTGTCAACAAGGGCTTTGTCACTGCAATAGGAAGTAACCAATACATTTCTTTCCCATCCTCCTATTGGTAATCCCAAAAAATTCACTGATTCACTAATTGGACAGAATCATCCCTTTGGCCTACTGGTGCCCTATGTGGGAATGAATTGACTTTTTAAATATCTCCCCATGAAAAGTCACCAAATACAATCAGAATAAGAACAGGGCCCAAGTCAAGACTTGGAGAACAAGAATTTAGTTCCTAGCATCAATTCAGGTGACTCACAACTGTTCTAACTCCAGCTCCAGGGAATCCAATGGTTCTTACCGCATGCACAAACCCACACTGAAAGACACACACACACACACACACACACACACACACACACACACACACACACACACACACCTATAGATGGTCCATATGGTGTTTTTGACTTGCTGAAATATCCTTTATAACTGATAGTAACAATTAAGAGCACATTTCACTTCTTGCATTCATTTTCCAGTAAGAAACATTTTCTCTGCCACGTTAAACACTGGCAGTGCATAACTCTATAACTCTACTCACTCTTCAGTGGCTCCCTTTCCAACTGTGAATCCTCCGGTGCATCAAAACGTCCGACTGGCAACTTTGACTTCTTAAGAGGCTGCTTCACAGGTTCAGATTTTCCTCCTTGATAACTCACTTTGCGCAAAGAATTATTCAGAAGGGAAGATCCTAATGGAGAAAAAAAATTTCACTTTGAAAAAAATTGATTTTGCCTGCTTGGCATTTTGACCATTTATCATAGTTCAAAAAGGGCAAATGGCATACAATGCAAATGGCTTCCCCACACACCTACACTGTACACAGCTATTTCCCGTCCTTAGAGATAACTGGTACAAGTTTGCAAAGAGATATAAAGTAAGGAGGTGGGCAAGTACAGAGAATAGCTTAGTAACCTAGGACTCCATCTGGTTTGGAATATGCACACATTCCACTTCTAATAATGCACTCGGCAGCCTAATTTCCCTACCTGTACATACTATGCATACACACTGCTCTCCAAAAGCTGCACCTAACAGCATAAGCCCCACCCCACCAGCATCAGGCTGTATGTACATCCTTCTCTGAAGCATGGCATTTTGTTCTCCTTTCTCAACAAGAAACTTAGATTCTATTTAATTGTACCCTCCTCATCTGCCAATCTTGCCTACACTGGGTTTGGGTGCTTACCCAGTAAGGTAAACTGAACCCTAAACTTTTTTTTTTTTTCGACACAGGGTTTCTCTGTGGCTTTTGGAGGCTGTCCTGGTGGAACTCGCTCTTGTAGACCAGACTGGTCTTGAACTCACAGAGATTCGCCTGCCTCTGTCTCCCAAGTGCTGGGGTTAAAGGTGTGTGCCACTGCTGCCCGGAGATTTATCTTTTTTTTTTTTAAAGGAAAATCTATTTAGCATCTTATGTCTATTTTAGCAAGTGTATGACTGAAATCACATGGATTACAAGAAGGAACATGTACAGAAAATTATTATACTAAATAGTATATCAATCAAAATGAGAACCACCCCAACCCCTTAGTAACGGACCCCCTCTTCCCTGTAAGTCCCACAAAGGGCCTAGGCATCCAACCCTGGCCTCCTGCTTTCTTACAGTGTTAGAATTAAAACAAAGTTTCACTACCACTTTGCAATCTGTGGGCTTTAATTTCAGTTCCTTGGATAAGGAAGCAGTTGGCCTGCACCAACCCAGACAGCAGAATCAATAAAACAGCATCCTTTAGGAACTTATTTCTTGTCCTGGGCATGGGAAACACATCAGAAGGTGTAGAACCCTATGCTAGTGTTTCTAGTGTTGCCCAAGTGTCCACAAGGAGAATGGAAGATGTATCATACACAGGTAAAAGATACCACCTCACATTTTTGTATGGAGTGATCTTGGAATATGAGTAGTTGAAAAAAAAAAGCAATGAATGCAAACTGCATCAAACCATTTCCATGGGAAATGGGCTCATTAATGTTCTTTTTGCTTTATACACATGTCATGTGTATACACATATACATATGTGTGTGCATGTATAATTTCTGGTATCAAACATTGCATAATCATTTAAAAACAGCGAATGCTGGATAAACACTAAAGTATTAAAATTATCACCTTAGGGCTTAGAGCCTTTTCTTTCTATAATATTCATTTTATACATCATTTAAGACATTTTTTCAGAATTCATAGAAACTTTTATTTAAATTAGAAACAAGCTTGCTTCACATGTCAATCCCAGCTCATCATTTTAAAGACTTTAACAAGTATTTGAAGGGGAAAACTAGAAAGTATAATTAAAAATCGGGTCACTTGTTAAGAAAGTCGTAATTCTGCCTTCAGTTTCCGTAATCTCTCAGGGATTTCATCACCAACTTACATCCTGCATCCTTTTTGGGATGCTCATTGAGGAATATAATGAGACCTAATGCTACCGTTTTGAAAACGTCAGTCTCTATAGAAGGCACGCAGGCATCTCTTCTAACAGTTCTTGGCTTCGGGTACTTTTCGTTATGTGTACTCATCCATCTGACTTTGGCTTACCGAACATTCGGACCGGCTTGACCTTGAGCTCCAGAGATCCTCCTGCCTCTGCATGCCCAGTGCTGGACCCCCTGCCCAGTGCACGCACCCCCTGCCTGGTACAAATTATTCTTGATGCCAGCAAACAAGTTAATGACACTCATGCCCGAAGTGTCCTCCTCGCAAACAACCCCAATGTCCGCTCCTCTCTGCCAAGCACACCCCAAAAGGCTCGGAACCCTGCGGTCGCAGGCTCCGCGGCCGGATCTCTGCGCCTTCTCATATCCAAAACCGGCTTCCCTCGCGGGACCCCGAGTCTCGGGACCCCGGCGGACCCCGGGCAGGCCGCCTTACTTGTTGCTCTCCAGACGGAGGCCACCACAGATCCCGCGAAGCTGGAGGAGACCATACTGCCGCCAGCCTCAGCGTCTGCGCACGCGCAGCCGGCGGGCGGGGCCGCCTCCGACCTGGACCCGGACCCGCGCGGTCTGCGCAGGCGTCAGCGAAAGCATCATTGGGCGGGGCTTCGCTGTGTCCGCCAGACTGACCAGGCAAGTTTTCAGGCCACCCTGAACTGCCTCCTGTAATTCTGCATGGCTACACCCCAAACCGCTATCCGACGCAGTCCCTGGCGATCGCTCCTAGCCATTCCGATGGACTCAAAGACGAAACCGAAAAGTCTGCACGGAGGCAGTTCTAGAGTTCACACCAGCCTTGTGTGTAGTGTGCTGGATATCTAGAGGAGGGAAGTTCAAAGTCCAGCAAGGAGGTCGAAACATGAGTCACCCTAATCTGATCATTACGTTTTAAGACACGTATTAATAACCTATATCATTAGACACTAGTGATTTTTAAAAGTTTCATCTTCGCATGCCACATAGGTGTGCCAAAGTCTTGCTCCATAAATCTGAAGTTAAAATACCAAACACAAGCATTTAATTACATTGAACGTTCCCACATTTTGAAAATAAAACTTTAGTAAGTAAAGAATATCCAGTCAGCCGGGCTGTGGTGGCGCATGCCTTTAATCCCAGCAGAGGCAGGCATATCTCTGTGAGTTAGAGATCAGTCTGGTCTACAAGAGCTAGTTCCAGGACAGCCTCCAAAAGCCACAGAAAAACCCTCTCTCAAAAAAGAAAAAAAAAAAAAAAGAGGGGGGGGGCTGGAGCGATGGCTCAGCAATTAAGAGCACTGGCTGTTGAAGAGGTCCTGAGTTCAATTCCCAGCAACCACATGGTGGCTCACAACCATCTATAATGAGATCTGGTGCCCTCTTCTGGCATACATACATACATTCACGCAGACAGAATATTGTATCCATAATAAATAAATAAATCTCAAAAAAAAAAAGGAAAAAAATCCAGTCATGTGAATTGATTGATGGTTGAAACTTCCATGACAGAGATCTTTTAAAAAAATGTTTAAAAATACTGAGGGGCTGCAGAGATGGCTTCTCTTTCAGGGGACCTGGGTTCTACTCCTGGCACCCACATGGCAACTCACAAGTAACTCCAAAGTGTCTGACACCTTCTTATGGACTTGGTTAGCAGTAGGCATGCATATTACATACATACATACAAATATACATACATACATGCCAGAAAAACACTTATATAAAGTCTTCTTAAAAATTGAGGTAAAAGCCTTTATACATGAACCCCCCCCATTATTAGAAAACAAAACAAATCCATAGCTGAATGGATGAGTTACTGCATTAAATCCCTGCCTTGGAGTCATGGTGTTGACTACGAAGAAGAGCTACCACAGCAACTTTCTCTTACCACGGCTGTGTTTGCTCTGTGAAGCCACCAGTACGGTAGACATGGTGAGAACAAAGACACACGTGTACATTTTTAACTGTCTTTTCCCTCCCAGGATTGATTGGCTAGTACCATTACTAGTGGTAATTAGTAATTCTAATGACTGACCTGACCTGTGCTGTAGTATTAGGCAGTCCCTAAGTCTGATTACAAGGGAATCAGTCCACCCAACTATCATGAAGAGCAAACTGTTATTTGCTCTTAGTTATTGTATTTAGACTGCTTTCCCTGAATTATCTTTCCTTTCATACACTTCATCTGTGGTCTACTGGAAGCTTTGTATATATATTACTTTAAACAACACTGCTTATCAAAAGAACCTTTCCCCTGTGAATGTAAATCTGATGTCTGGAGGACCCACCAATCCTATCAAGTATTCCATTTTCCAGAATTTGGCCTTATGGGATGATGGAGAGTTCTGCATGTTTGGTTTTGGAACCAGGTGATGAAATATTTTGGTATGCTGTCCCTAAAAGACATCGTATGCTCCACATAAGTTAACAGTCTTGAGATCACTCGTTGATAGGAGTCCAGAGAGTAGAAGAGGGAGACACTGCTACTTCTACATGCTGCCTCTGTTTTGCTTCCCACGAGACATTCAACCATAACCTGTCACTGCTAATTACTTCCCAGTGTACTAATGTTGTGGAATGCTGTCTGCTAAAGAGAACAGGTGTGACTGCATCAAGTCCAAGACACCCCTCCCTACACAGCCAAGGCTGGCAGCTTTCCCTTGTTCGACTCTCTCAAGATTCTAGCCACTCCCTAATATGCCTCTCCCAGTTGCCTGTAATTCTGCTCCAGACACACAAGGTCTTGGAAAATTTTAAGAGAATACAAAATAGAATGTTGAGCCAGGCATGGTGGCACAGAGCCGGGCATGGTGGTGCACGTCTTTAATCCCAGCACTCAGAAGGCAGAGGCAGGCAGATCTCTGTGAGTTCAAGACCAGCCTGGTCTACAGAGCGAGTTCCAGGGCAGCCTCCAAAGCAATAGAGACACCCTGTCTCGCAAAACCAACCAACCAACCAACCAAACAAACAAACAAAAAAAACAAAATAGGATGTTAACTGGCCTGGGGAGTCCATTAATCTATCTGTGGGGGTATTGCCCTCCATGCTGGTGTGGGGCTTTTCGAGATGTAGCTGTTTGGGGGTTACCCATACTCCTAGTTCAGCGATCTTGACAGGAGTGGTATCATTCCTTTGGTCTCTCGATGTGTGTGTAATGCTTGGGCCTGAATTTGTATTTTTAATGGTTTCTCATCAAGGAAGATGGCAAAACACCATATTGTATTTCCTTTTAGACTAGCTCATGTTTACACATGCCATTTTCTGCTTTTCCTACCATAGTATCTGTGATGTTGAATGAGAATTCCCCTATAGGCTCCTACATGTGAATGTCTAGTGCCAAGGTGGTGAACTGTTTTGGGAAGGTTTAAGAGGTGTGGCCTTGTTGGAGGAGGTTGGCATTGGGTGTAGGCTTTGAGGCTTCAAAAATCCATGCCAGGCTTAGTACCACTCTCTGCCTTGTGGATCAGGATGTAAAGAGAAATACAACATGCACACAGTTTGAGGAGCAAAAGGACACAGGGAATGTCATGTTGGACCCAAGCCAACCCTGTGCTCAAGGAGATAAAAAGTTTAAAGGCCTGATTCAACTGGAATGAAGGGAATGTCTTGCCTCAGGGCAAGACTCTATCCAGCTAAGCTTCCAACTTGTGAAAAATAACAAAACCGAAGTTTAAGGAACAAAGAAAATAATCTACAATGGAAAGTTTATGTACATATAATTCAAGGAGGGGCCAGGTCCCAGCCCCAGAAAACAACTTGGCAGCTTGGGTCATGTGGTTCTGATTTTGGTGTCCAGGATACAGAAGACGGATTATGGAATCTTCCTCTAAATTAAGAAAAGCCACTGGGTCACACTTGTGGCACAGGAGTTCCTGTTGGACACCTAGAGATATCAGCCATTTTATGAAGCTGTCAAGGTGAAGCCTGGATTATCTTGGAGCCTCCAAGATGATGGAGATGCCAGAGCTGTGGGATACCTGTCAAGGAAATCAGGCTGTAGAATCAGCCCCAGAGAGAGAATATGTTGCAGGTAGCAAAGGTGGAAGGGAGCAAGAGTCATCTAAGTCCTTTGCGTAGGACACAGATACAGGATTTGGAGTTGACTCAGCTGATTCATTATGCCCCCTTGCCTTCCTTGAAGAATGGCAATGTATATTCTATACCATTGGTGTATGTGATTTGCTTTTTGTCTTGACATGGGGTTACAGTTGAATTTCAAGAGACATGGACTTTGGAACAGTATTGAAACTCAAAGACCATGGGGACTTCTGAAGCTGGACTGAATATATTCTGCATTCTGATATGGCTATCAGCCTTTGGAGGCCAGGGGCTGGGATGTGGTAGTTTCAATGAGAATGGCTCCCATATGCTCATATATCTGTATGTCTAGTCCCCAGCTGGTAGACTGTTTTGGGGAGGGTAGAGGGTATGATCTTACTGGAGGAGGTGCCACTAGGGTGAAGGGTTAACTTTGAAGTTTTGAAAGCCCTTGCCAGATTCAGTGCAACCCTGAGGCCTGTGGATCAGGCTGTAAAGATCTCAGCCACTCCTCCACCACCATGCCTGTCTGCTTCCTAACTTGATGACCATAGACTAACTCCCTAAAACTGCTAGGCAAGTCCCTTAATCTGCTTCCTGCCATGATGACCATAGACTAACTCCCTAAAACTGTTAGCCAAGTCCCTTAATAAATGCTTTCTTTTCTAAGAGTCACTTTGGCCATAGTGTCTCTTCAAAGTCAAAGAACAGTAACAAAGACTATGATTATATATATTGATGGTTAGGGTCCTGATTTTAGGAGATTCAATTTGTTGTTCTAGACTGACCACTAAAGAAACAAAGGATACCCATAGAAGATGACAGATCCTGGGAGGAAGCACTTTAAATGCAAAACCAAGAACAATGGTTGTGAAAGACAAAAGAGGGGCCACAAATCTGACATTTTAAATGACTTTAGGGGTTGAACCCAGGGCTTCCCACATGCTTTTGAGACAGGATTTCAAGTACTTCAGGAAGGCGTGCACCACCAACACCCGGCTTACGAGGAACTGTATTAAACAGTCACAGCATTAGGAAGGTTGAGAATCACTGCTCTAGAACTAAAAAATAATCTAAAAGGATTTAGCAATAATAAGGAAAAGGGACACTGGTATTTAACATACAGACTTATCAAGATAATTTCATCCAGGCATTATGTGGCACACACCTTTAATCCCAGCACTCGGGAGGCAGAGGCAGGAGGATCTCTGTGAGTTCGAGACCAGCCTGGTCTACAGAGCGAGTTCCAGGACAGCCTCCAAAACAATACAGAGAAAGCCTGTCTCGAAAAACCAAAAAAAAAAAAAAAAAAAAAAAAGGTAATTTCAAACAAGCACGTCTTGGCATTCTATATGCTCTGCATTATTTATTGGTTAGCTGTCAAGCATACCACGCCTTTCTAAAACACATTTCTTATGACTGAACTTCTCACTTTAAGGTTGAGCCCTGCTGGATCACTCTTCTTTTTCGGCTTGTTCACGCTCGTCTCATGCTGGTTCAAACAGCTTTGCTTCTTGGGAGATCTTCCTGTCTACTCGGGCACTGTGG